AAAAAAGAAATTCAAAACGTACAGCTCTGAGACCGTGGACGCTGTTGAATACGAAGAGGGATAACAGTGTTACTTCATTGACGTACAGTCTTTCGTATGCGAGTTAGAACAACGGGTGGTTCTGTGCCAATGCTTCTCCTCGTGGGAACGAGATTTCGGCAAAAAAGACATCTGAGAATTCCCCTGAATTCATAGTTGAATCCTTGGTTTAAACCAAGAAGCAAACAAGGGTTTATGGCACTATTGGCGTGTGCTAGAAAATATAAAACGGAATTCAGGCGTTCAACTTTGAGCAAAGCCTGATAAGTGTTAGTAAAATAGAAAATGAGTAAATGCTGGATGTGAGCTGGCAACCAACACAGCGCAAACGTCACCACCACGATGATGATCATGCGCAATACCTTGCGCCTGGACAGTTCATTTTGATGTCTCTGATGGGCCGTCGGCTCCCCTGGGATCTGGCGTGAACAAACATGTCGACCAATAAGAACATGAACCCATGCGATGAAAACAAGAGGAACCAAATACAGTATCAAGAACATGGTCATGAAATAGGCTCTGCTGATAGAAACCTGGACACTTCTGTCAGAGGAAAAGAAATTCCAAACCGTTCTGCACTCCCAATGAAAGCCGTCAGCACTCTTTACAACGTCAAAGACCAAGAGATACAGCAGGAAAAACAGGGAAGACGAGATCCATATCACAGCGGTGACCAGTTTTGTGTTTCGAATGAAACGCATATCTCGAAGTGGATGAAGAATGGCGAAATAACGATCCACTGTCATGAAGACAAGTGTTACGATGCTGACAGCGAATGACAAGTTCCCTAGGAAACTAAAAAGCTTGCACGTGACTTTTCCCACCGCCCCTGGGATCCATGCCAGGCCAATGTAAAGACTTTTCACCTACAAAGACAGGTACTAAAGATAGGTTTTCAATGACGACACGACCTAATAGCGTGGGAAATAAAAATGCGTTATACCGCTGGGAGTGAGTGAGAGCTTTTTGCATAACGAAACTTAACAATGAATTAACACTTAACAATTGGAAAATTGTCACTCACCTCAAACGGCATAACGAAGAGAGAAACAAGTAGATCTCCGACTGCCATATTTACAACTAAGAAATTGAATTTGGTCCTCATCTGTTTTCGAGAAACCACAATGTAAATGATACAGATGTTACCAAAGAAGCCGAAGACGAAGATAGCCACATATGCTACAGTTATCCATACAGTAGCGCTCACAGGAAAGTAACCGTTGACAACTGATGAATTCAAGTTTGCCACACCTGAGGAAAGAAAGGAGAAATAAATTGCCTTTGATTTTGAGATTTCTATTATTTTTCTGACAGATAATGTGGTAAGAAGCTGACTTAACCTAGCCAAGCCTAAATAATGACGCTGCCTAATAAAAGAGGAAAGCAGAAAGGTTTATAGATTTCTCCCCAGTTTGCAACCCCCCCCTTCCTTTTGCCTAATTGTAGGAGAAAACCTCTCATCCAATGTTATCGAGTTCCTTAATAACAGCGCTCGAGGGCAGAGAAACATCTGTGACTCCTTACTTCCTTCGTATAACTCACGCCTGCTTATCTGAATGGCCTACTAATACCACGCGGTTTGTACCAGATGGCGTTGCCCACGTATCGCTAAAATCACCTCACTTATGTTGACTTCGACTCACACAGAGGCAGCCATGGTAACACTACGAATTCTTGTTCATCCAAAATGTACAAAAACAAATATCTTCAGACCAATAAGACATGAAAACGTACCTGCAATAGAAGAATTATTTACCGCCATCATGCCACTCATTGCCACTCTCTGAGTGATCGAAAGTTTCAAGCGTCTTTTTACTGTGGTGAACAGTAAAAAAAAACAAAGCTGAGAATAATGTTACAAATTAATCCAAAAACATAATTTTAACCATGAATTAATGGTGCAAGTAAAGCATATTTCTTTAACCTCAAAATCAGTTATGCAGCGATTAGATGGTTCTCGTTCTTCGCACTCAGCAATTGCAGTGAATTGTTTCCAACTGTCACTTGATTCACTGATGAACACTTTTGGCCATTACATCTTTTCATAGAACCGTAGAATGAAAAAAATAATCCTATCTATTTTAGGAGCTGATCATTACCTATCGCCGGGGAGAGGGAGGGGGGGGGGGGTAGGGGGGATGTTGGAGGATTTTGGATTTGTCAAGAGAGGCTTTACGCCTGGTTTGTTACTCGTCGAGTTCACTACATGTTCGCTACTAAGATTCCGAATTCGCTGCCTCTGTTAATTTGCAGTCATAATTTCTCTTTTAACCATTAACCACAAGCAATATCTGTAATTTATACTCTCAACTGCGTGATTGACGTTTTTAGAAATCAGTTGAACTGATCATGTTAAGTTAATTTCAAGAATGGGTGACGATTGCATCACGTGTAAAAGACCTGTTACATCGCGGCAACAAGGAATTCAATGCGACGTTTGCTTACAGTGGAACCACAGGACCTGTAACACTGGTAAGTTACCTTTCATACTTCATTTTCACTCAGTTTGCAAAATCCTATTTGATCTTTGAGGTGATGTCAGGTATTTTGCAGCAAGAAATCGTTCCGCACAGCTACCGGGATAGGTTGGGTTTGCACAGCCTGCCAGTTTTTTGTCCGGTGGCCGAGAGCTTTAGAATATCTATGACTAAGTCGTCAGCCAAAATTCTTGAGTCGTCAGAGTTCAACCCTCGTTCGACCCAAAGCGATTCATTCCAGTCGACGATTTATAACCCCCCCCCTCCCCCATAGTAGAAAGTTACCGTTTTAAATGTAATACTTATCGGAGCTCGATTTTAACGTATAATGATAACTGTACTCAGTTTACTTTACAATCCATCGCTAAGACTTTCTATGAGCACTCTCAGTGAAAGATTAATTAGCCTGTGTCTTTTTTAATGGTAAACTTTAACGGTAGATGACTTTTCTGTTTAAGACATCTCTAAATAATCTATTTTTTTTTAAATGGCGATGTTGCAATATTTTCCTAATAATAAGTGAATTAAGTAGAAAGCTTTTATAGCGTGCATAGATAGCCTAGGTTTCAATGCCTAGTTTAGTAGGATTTAGGATTTTATATAATCATTGTAATCAAAGTAAGATCTTAGATTATAATCAAAAGTTACGTAATAAGCTCTTAAAGTGCTGTGTGTTCTCACTTAGATTCGGGTCCAGATTACCCCTGGATTCAATTCGTTTACATTACTTTGAGTAGAAATCTTCTTAGCGTGTATATAGACTCTGAAATATATAGTTTAATAATAAAGAAAGTACTGTAATATTAATAATTTTGACTCTTCTTTACTGGTTTTGTGTTTTCTCTCTCTTGTTAATGCCGCTGTCCATTATAAGCGATGCGCGGGCTCGATGATAACCACGATAATATACTAAAACATGACGCCCATTTCAGGTTGAGTAAGGCAGATTTCTTTAAAACAAGATTTTGGTTCTAAAAGATCGTGGAACTAGAATGGTAGGATGAACTAAGCAGCGAATTCGGCATGTAAGTAGCGAACTTGTAGCGAACTCGAACGTAGCGAACTCGACGAGTAGCGAAACCGGCTGTTACCCACGAGAGAATTATCCTTATTCCACTTAAGGCTCCGTAATATTCTCAGCATTCTCCCCTCAATTGGTAGTCAATTTTATATATAGACCCCCCCCCCCTACCCTTTATACCGTGTGAGCCATGACTGATCTATCCTCCGTTCTCCTCGAAAGAGGATCTTATTAATGGGAGATAGCTTTGACGGTTGGCGGATAATTTCTGTTTAGGTTTTGACAGTTGACGATTAAATGTAAGGGCCTTTGACGGTTGACGTTTATTAGGAAGATATATTTTTATGAGTAAACAATAAATAATGAATGTTAGCTTAGTATCTTGCGCACTTTTACGATTCTAACGACGAGTTATACTTAAAATTTTAGTGATATATTTTTTTTCTAGCGCGGTTGTTTTGAAACGCGAGTCAAGCGAATCGTAGTGAATTTCAACCCTGTTTTTGGCTTGTAAAATCGACCGCGGGGCTTGAAACGGTTTTCCGCGTTTTTCTTGAAAACGAGCGGTTCTTTCGAATAAAAAACTACATAGCGTTTGTATACTTACTTAGGTCTACCACTATGCAAAAGAAGAGCGATTTTGACTTTTTGAGCCTTGCCACGAATTGACGATTTTGGTCGATTTTTGCATGGATTCGCTCTTAAACTTCACTAACTGTGATAATAATTGTTGACTGTTGTTAAGATGTCCTACCCTTTCCATAATAAAATTGCGTCGACAATTTGAACCGAAATACTTTTCAAAATCATTCAAAGCTGCAGCTTTTGCGATAAAAATTTACAAGTGCCGAAAGAGGAAAGTGAATTCAGTCAATGTTGACGCAACGGAAGATATACAAGCTATTAATAATCTTACGTTACCTGGAAAGATGTTTTGGAACAACTGCAAAAGTTTGTCAATACTCTTTAGTGTCTTCTTTCTTTGTATTTATAGGCGTTGGACACTTCATCTACACTGTAAAAGTTGCTTTTTGAAAAACGTTAGAGACACTTGACATTAAAGCTGTATCCAGCTTGAATGGTTGACTTTTCTGCTGATGATTGATTGATTGTGAAAAGCAAGCCTGATTAATTAACGATTGGTTCATACGTCAGCGTAAGTTCATCGAGATATGAAGCACGCGGGAAGTTTGGAGAGCACGAAGGATGCGTAAGAGTTGCTCGAGGCGTTGCCAAGAGCAACTCTAGCTTCTTGAGTATCATATCTCAATGAATGCACGGCTGACGTATGAACTAATTGTTTTATAACATTTTCAGGCCGATGGAAAATTTTTTTTCTCGATGGATTTGTTTGCTGACGTCATACACCGTATTCATAAATGGCCGCCACGCGGAACGGTCTGGAACCTAGCGCATGAAATCGAGGTCGGAAAGGCCTCGGTAAAGTAAACAACAAAGAAATCATGGCGTTGTCCAGCTCTTCGTCCGCAGATAGCAACACTATTCTCACCGAGAACGATATACCCGGTGCTTCCTTGAATGGGAGAAATCCTTCATCCTTAAAGAATGAAGAACTGAAGTTTTGGCTAAGGTGCCGCGGTGATTCTCTTAAAGGACTCAAGACTAAAGCGTGCTTTGTCAAACGGTGAGCATACGCAACTATTTATACACGTGGCTTTGGCGGAACTTTTACATTGATAATCTTTGTTTTTATTATAGGGTCCAAGAATATATCACGTCTGGTCGAGATATGATGGTGGTCGATCCGGATAAAGATAAGATTTATACGAAAAGAAAGACCAGGCTTTCAAATCTGCCGGCCGAACGCTCCCCTGAAACTCCAGCCCCAAAGTATCCAAGCGATGGCTGGGGAAAATCACTTGAAAGGATGCCGCCGTTTTCGAGGGCCGAAATGAACCAGCACATTGAAAGTTCTGGGAAGAAAGTGGGTAATGCTGACAATCATTCGATTCCCACGAACTTGAGAAAAGCGAAGACATTTTTAAAGGATGAGTATCTCAAAGATATAGAAGCAAACAGCGATCAAAGGTACTTCTACCTGAGAGCCAAATGCTATCATAGCTTCAGGAAGAATGATGCTCCACACAGTCTTCGTTTTGTGCTTTGCATCGTCTCAGGTGAAGTTATGCATGCCAACTGTTCGTGTAAAGCTGGAAAAGTGGGTTATTGTAACCATGTCCTTGCATTAATGTTTAAAGGATGCAAGTTTAGCTTGTATGACAGCCAGGCAACTGATGACCTGGACAATGAAGATGATGAACAACCCAATTTAGCATGCACTTCACAGCTTCAGAGGTGGCATGCTAAAGGCCGTGGGGAAAACATCCATCCTCAACCAGTCATGGAAGTAACTGTTTCCAAGACAAAGCTCGACGAAACAAAAATAAGGGAAGGGGTGAAGTCTCTGCTCTATGAAGCCAGGATGAAACCTACTCATGACCTCCAGGCAGAAGCTGATTTGAAGAAGACTCTTCAAGGTATAAACCCACAGTTTGGTTTGTCATTAATGGCTGCAGAAAATTCTCCCACAGCCTTTGTGCAAACCAAATTTGGTGAGAGCCAGACAGGATCATTCTGTAGCTATCAGCTAACCCATACAGAGGCAAATTTTAGTGCCACCATTGACATTGCCTCTATACCTCGATTAAACAACTCTCTGCCAACCGAACTGACCTACCCCAGATTTCCATTATCTGCAATGGACACATTTGACATTCCTGACAATCTAGACGATGCTGAGAAAGCACTTATTCAGACTCTTGAAGTTGATGAAAATTCTATTAACAGCATTGAATCTGCCACAAGAGAGCAATCAAATTCTGAATGCTGGAAAAATGAGCGCAAATATAGATTTACAGCTTCAAGATTTCAGCTAATAAGTAAGAGGCAAAGGAACCATGACAAGTTTGCAGCTGAGCTCATCAACCCAAAGCCATTCTCTTCAAGACATGTCGAGCATGGACTGAAATATGAGCCAATTGCACTAAGAGAATATGAAAAAGTAATGCTAACCCGAAAGACACCAGTCAAGGTCCTCAACTGTGGTCTGGTCATTTCACAACACATGCCAATTCTTGCTGGCTCCCCTGATGCAAGGGTTGTTGATTTTGGATGTGAGCGTCACTTTGGACTAGCCGAGGTTAAATGTCCAGAAACTAAATTTCATGTTACCCCTTTGGAGGCTTGTGAGGATCCCACATTCTGCTGTGAAGCTGTCAATGGACATTGTAAACTCAAAAGGAACCATGCTTACTTTGCTCAAGTTCAGGGCCAGATGGGTGTATCTGGAGCATCCTGGTGTGATTTTATTGTATACACCAAGAAAGGGATCTCTGTGGAAAGGATTGCCTTTGACCCTGCATACTGGGCAGAATTAAGGCAAAAGCTTGCATCTTATTATTTTGCTAATTTCATAAAGCATGCAGCAAAGGCAGTGTAAATGCCAGATTCTTTAGGGGTTTTCACTTCATTTCACTTCCTTTGTATAGTAATCCACAAGCAATTTGTAAATTTTTGTGGTCAAAATTAAGTTTTTGTTGTTGTTGTTTTTTCACCATTTTAATTGAATTAGTTTTGCTTTATGTCTTGTCAATGAACACAAGACAATGAAATTTCTCCCTTGCTTTCCATTCATTCATTTTTAATATGCATCAAAGGAGGTAAAAATACCATTTTTCTAAAAAAGGGGGCATTTTTTTGCAAGGCTACAATATCATTCATTCCTTAAAAAAGATCAATGAGGGATGGGGTCTTATTCTTATTTTGTGAGGTTTAATACCAGTTCTTCCCTTTTGTCATGCAATCAGGTATAATAATAGCAAAAGGGGATTTGTAAATAATTTCTTGTACAGTGTACTGCCATTTCCTTTCTTTGGGCTTGCATTCTACATTGTGTACTTCCACTCAAGTTATCATATTTGCAACAGAACATTTATTGACAATTAATTACAAGTTCAGTGTCTATTCTGATTTTTTGGACCTTTTAAAATGCTACATGTATTCAAGTGCAATGTGTAGTTCCAGAAAATTCCCCAAAGAAGAGATTTTTGATACCCCCCCTTGTCTAGAAATTGAGCTGAAACTTCAAACATTTCTTGAATTATTTTTTTCTTTTGAGACCCCATCCCCCCCCCCCACTGTGGAATTTCCAATCCCTTCTATTTGGTGGGAGGATGGATATTTTCTGGAACTACACAAATTAGGGTTTATGCAAGGATCTAGAGAGGCTTAAATAAACTTCATTTAGATAGGAAAACTGTACTTCAATGCAAGTATGTCAATGATACAATTATGCACTTATGATGGGATCTTGAAAATTACAAAGCATTGCACACACACACCACATTTGATTTACTGTACAGAACTGACTTATTGGGATAACACCCTCAAATATTAAAAAGTTCTTAATTTTATTTATGGCCCTTTCCACATGGATGCGCAAGCTTGCGATTTCTTGTGTTTTTATGACATCTTCAGCTGGCATCTGGTCAGACATTCCAAGGAAGGGAGGGATGTTAAGGGACACTCCCAGGGGAAGAACATCTTCAATTGTAAAACCCTTGTCAGCCATTACTGAGTCTCCCTGTTCAAAGGGTAGTTTCAGAAAACCACTGCGTTCAACCATTTCTTTATCTGATATACTGCCAGTGTATAACTGTCCTATAAATGTTATTGATCCTTTGGGAGAAATTCCCACCAGTGCTTTTAGGGTGGTATGGTTTTTATAGGAGCTAAATAATTCACTGTTTAACAGAAGGCTGCTAGGCATCTGACAGCGAACCTCTGTGCAATCGATTATTACCCTTGTGCTGGGATACTTTTCTTTGAAAGCTTCAGGCATTGATTCATCCACCACTTTCCTGGATGGCCAGATATTTATCTGGCCAAGTTTTAAGTACATGAAATTAATCCATGAAATAAATATTCTACTTACAGTCGACTGAGAAATTTTAAACAGGTGTGCAAGATGCATTTCAGCAAATCCTTGCCTCAGTCTGCACATTACCAGAAAAAATTCATCAGATGGCGTTAAAGTCCTAGGCCTTCCTTGCTTGACTGAATTACCAGCAGCAGCCTTTTGTGAATTATCTTGGCCAGAAAGCCAGTATTTTATATTCATGCCATTTAAACCAGGATCCAAATATTCATACAGAGCCATCATTGTTTGGACATTTGGAAACCCAGTATAAAATGTCAACAAAGAGTCATCTGTTTTGACGTTGTCAAATGAAAACACTTGCTTCTCGAGTTGCTCACATTTTTGCTCGAGAAGAACAATGTTTGCCTTCAGAGATAACACCTCGCTCTCTAACGTTTCTTTAATTTCGATAGTATCGGCTAAAAGTTTCTCGAGTCTAGCAATTTCCAGATTTTCTTTGGACTGCAAATCAAATTTTGTCGCTGTTTGCTGTGCTTCCATTTCCGGTGCAAGGTGTGAGTTGGATGAGCATTCCGATGTCTCCAAACTTTCGTTCGAACAGGCAGACTCCACAAGTTCACTAATATTTTCGTTTAAGTTTTGAGACACAGAAGCGGCCGTACTGGAGATACGAGGCGTTGGAGGCGGTCGCTTGCGAGGTGAGCTTCGTTTCCAAGCGAAAACTGAAGGAACAGCTCCATTTTTCAAGGAAACCACGCCATTTAAACTCTTCTTTAAATCGTCAGATTTGAAGTGCCGCGAACAAACTTTGGTATTATTTGAAACCTGGAAATTTTTTCCTTCATATCTCCGAATAGCATAGATCCACAACTTTTTTAACCTTTCTTCGGTGGGAAATTTGAAGTAAGAAACTTTCTCTCCGGTTTCTTCGTCGCGATATCCTTTCCTTGTACATAGCGGCACGCAGCAATGCGTTGGCATCTTGAGGGCTGCTTAACACTGCCAGTCAAGTACTTGAAACTGCCTCTGGATTTTCTGACCTTTTTCCGAGAAATATACAAAAAAACTGGAAATTATGGGACTTTTTCCTATCTAACAGCGCATCTAAGTAGCTCTCCACGTCTAGTCGCTCTCTAAGTACCATTAATCTGGCCTTTCCGACCTCGATTTCGTGCGCTAGATTCCAGACCGTTCCGCGCGGCGGCCATTTATGAATACGGTGTATATGCACTTTATTTTGTCGTCGTAGGTAATTAGTGGGCGTCGCCTCGCGAGCATCATAAGGGATGTTTGAAGTTGAATCACATGAAGTGACAATTGCGCTGTTTTTGTTAGAAGTGAAAACAAAGATGGCTAACGCTTGGACACAATTCCAACCATGGCAAAATCAACCTTTACCTCCAGGCTGGGAGGCTAGATATGATGGCAACATCGGAAGATAGTAAGTATCTTTGAATCTATGGTTGTTGACTCGTAATGTAAAGTTTCGGCAAAAAACCTGCGTTATGATCCGGATGAGTCGCAAGCATTTAAGTTCGCTGTCGCTGCGAGGTTTTTCGAACAGATGACCAAGCTGAATATTTCTTTCTTGTGGGAAACATATTACTTTTGAGCTTTCCAGAGTATCATTTTTTTGATTATAAGGAAAACAGTTTGATTGTATCTGTAGCTAACAGGTACAGTTTCGTCGTGATTTTTAAATGTTCTGCTTGGTTTACTCTTGGCTAATTTCGGTGTAAAAGTTAGCCTATTATCGGCAAGATGTCTGAAAAACCCCATGCTTCATTATGCGTACAGTTATCCAAAAAGTGAGACAGTGATGAAAATAAAAGTTTATATTCTGGACTCATGTTTTGTTTTAGAATAGTGCAAGGTAATACGGAAATCTTTCCGTACTATTTCCTCCTTTTATCTTAGTATTAGTGGATATTCTTAAAATATGCAGGCTGACGTTTGTTCAAACTTATCTTTATCGTAATTAGCGATCATTTTCAGAATTCTATGTCGACAGATTTTCCATCTACAAAATATTAGTAATTGAATGTACCTGTCGATAACATATTCAAAGAATGTCAATTTATGCATCTTCCTTGCAGCAGAGTTTTGAAAAGTCTAAGTTCAATAAACAAGCAAACTATCTCTGGTTATGATTTTCATAAGTCAGACAAGCATTTTACTCATGGGAGAGACAATCAAGGATTTCTCCCAATAATACTGGTGAATGCATTGTTAAGCAGAGGGT